AAGCACTGCATTCAAATATAGTTCAATTTCATTTGTCTTGGTAGTCTACCCTACCTGGTGAGAATATGACATCAAAACCACAACAATTAAAGTACTATTAATTACACTATTGAATTCCAACCAGTTATTAATTAGATCAATATATATTTGCCCAACTTCTCTAAAAACAATAAAGGTACTATTCAAAACATGACTGAAAAATACAAGATTCAACAAGAATTCTCCAAACACTTACCTTGTATATACCAAAACAGAATTACAACATACCCATAACAAAAATAATTTCAAGCCCTATTTATATAAATTAACATTTATAAACATTCCTATTTTCTGTGGTACCATGGGATATAAATGATCATGTAAAAGATGTTCTTACTTTTTTAGTGCTTATGATTTATTCACGGATAAAAAATAAATGCAAAAAAATTCACCAACAGAACAATAACTGATATCTATGACAGAGAGGCAGAGAGGACTCTGTATTCAAAGAAGAATAAGACATTCCTCCAGTGAGATAAAGAAAAATATCCCCCAGAGTGGCAGGATTGCTGCTGGGCCAAGAGCAATGAGCAGAACTTCAGAGATGGCATGAGCAAAACTAAGAGGTAAAAACCTGTATAAGAGGCTAAATAACAAGTTTGGCTGAGAAAATAAATAAATAGAACTGACAACCAGTTCCAAGAGACTTTATTTTTACTGGCATTTCTGTAGGCTAAGATAAAATAGTTTAATAAATATTTAAATTTTAACCACAGTCACCTATATAACTAAGAAATATACACATACTGAACATCTAATTTTCTGACCAAAGAACAAAACAAGGAAAAAAAAACTAAACTTCTCATTTGTCAGCTAAGTTCCTTGAGCCAGAGAGCACTGTGGGTGTTTGCTAGTAGCACAAATTTCAAGTCTCCTTTCTTCCAGAACAGGACATGGCAATTGACTCAGAGTTGAGGTTCAGCCAGGCAATGAGCAGAGACAGATGGACACCAGAGCTGAGACAGTGACAGGAGTGACTAAAGGGAGCTAAGCCGGGCAGAGCCCTGAAGACAGAAAGGGATGAGGAAAGGAGTTAAACGACAGGAAGCCTCCACTAGTCCCAATCTAGCTGAACAGCAGCAGCATGGGAGCTAGATGGATGGAAGAGATACTCAAAGAGGAGCATGTCCAACTTTAAAAACAGGGCGTGGCCATCACAGGGAGTGGTCAAAAACGCTGAAGGTACAGGACACTGGAAATGTGGAGGTAGAAAGGTTTTGAATGAATGAAAATCAAACATTTTTCTGTGCAGCATCTAACATGCCAAGGGCAAGTACCAAAGGCTGCATCTCTTGTTTAGAATTTTGGGAAACTGCGTATATGTCATTAACAAATGAATGAATAAAGTAAATGTGGTATGTATTTATACACAATGGATTACTACCTTGCCATAAATAAAGATAAAATTGAGGTATTAGTAGGCAAATGGATGCAACTTGAAAACATAATGTTAAGGCAACTAAATCAGATACACAGCTTAAATATTGCATGGTTACATGAGAAACTAAAAATGAAAAATAGAAAGAAAGAGATCAAGCACAAAATAGCAGATGGGTAGGAAGTAAGAAGTCCAAATAACCCAATTATCCAGTTGTTTAAAAAGAATTTTAATACATATGCGAATGTTTCATTTATACTAATTTGTTTCATACTAATTTGTTGCATTTATACTAGTTTTCAGTTCAGTTTACTGAAGAGCAAGTTTTGTGCTTTTCTCTCTGTGTTTCTTTGTAAGTCTTTTCTGTCTATGACTTACACTTTGCATAACATTTTGGCATAACATTCTTTTAAGATTATGATACAAAGTATTAATATTGTTAGTCTCTATTTTGTTACGAAATTTGTTCTACCTTTTCATAGAAGTTAAAGAGTGCTTTTTTGTATTAATATCCCCTTGTATTACACAAAAATAAAAAAATTACTGGAGGTAGAATGAAAGAAAGCACTGCAGGCAGATGTCAGGGTGTCAAGGCAGGGGGCCAAGGACTAATTTGGAATTCCATGAAGGAGGCCCTATGTGTCAGAAAATCAGTCACTTTTTATTCTTATTTTATTTGACCCTTCCATAGCAATCTGAACTGCTAACCATACCCTCCTCTTTGAAGTTCTCCTGTCCACTGGCTTCCTCGACATGGCATTGTGTCATTTTCCTCACGAGAATTAAACATTTTTAAAAGGGGCCAGCACCACCGAATTGCACTAGCCTTCAAATGATCACAGTCAGAGCTGAAGAGGCGTGGGGAGGGAGACACACCACCTAGTATCTTACTGGCTAGCCCATTTCCTTCTTATTTTGCAGGATAAAATTTTCAATACCATTACTGTTACTTCTTGAAAACCTATCAGACAGGAAGTGGAGTTAACTCTTCTGGTTTGCTTATTCCTCTAAAACAGTAAGACAAAGATAACACCAATATATCTTTTTTAAAAAGCAACACACATAAAAAAGCCCCTTTATAAGGAGAAATAATTCTATTTGTAAAGAAGCGACCTACAGGAAGGAAGAAGCTTCACATTCAGGGCATCAAAATTCTTTACAAACTCAAACTACCTCACTGTCTCCACTCCTTTGGCTTCTAAGTCTGACCTTGCAACTAGCTCAAGGACCCTTATCACTGCCAAAGGTGAGTCTTCCCCGTCATGGACCATTTAACAGTAAATCAAAAAACACACACAGTCTTCACATGTAGATTCTAAGAACTGTGCAACATGCAAAGAATCAAAGATGTCCAAAACTAGGGCCACCCATAATACAATCTGACACATCTACCGTGGTTACACTAATCACATATATTTGCAGAAGAAGTAATAAATCAAGCTTTAAAAGGGTAGTTTGGTCCAAGGACTAGTATATAACCCATATACTTAGACCATAGTATAAAACTACATTCCCAAGCAAAATACCTACATTCATCTGAGTTGTTTTTTGTTTTTTTTTTTTTTTTTTTTTTTTTTTTTTTTGGGACAGGGTCTTGCTCTGTAGTTAAGATTAGCCTTGGACTCACAGTAATTCTCCTGCCCCAGCCTCCCAAGTGCTAGGATTACAAGCTTGCACCACCAAGTCTGGCTGAAATTTTTTTCTTACCAAAATTTTATCAATAAAGGAAACAGTATACAGATTTATATTCTGGTGTAAGCTCCCTTTGTTACAAACTGGCACTCTGGCAACCCTAAAATACAGGGAAAAGCAAAAGAAAAATGAAAAGCAAAAGAGTGGTAAGTCAGGGAATTTTAAAAACTGGTGTGACAAGATGAGCAAAACTTTGAGTTGGGGATGTAGCGCAGCAGCACAGCACCTGCCTGGCAAGTGCAAGGTCCTAAGTTTGATTCTCGGTACCAAGAAAAAGAAAGATAAGATTTTGACAAAGAGATAACGGGATTCCAGACTATTCTAGGTAGCCTAGGTTCCTTCACTTGTTAAAGATGTTCTTGAAATGCTGTCACAGCCACCGAATTCATGTTGACTGACTGGACTCCCTTTGTTTGAAAATCAAATTTCCCTGATTACCTGTTCACCTTCTTGTAATTCTTTTCACTGCATACCTGGTTAACTATTACTTGATAATTATATACTTTAATTGAATTTTATTTGTTTTCAATTGGTTCTGAATCTTTTTCCTTTTTTTTTGTATTGGTGATTGCACTAAGCTATATCCTTTCTTGAGATAAGAACTTGCTAAGTTACCCAGCCTGAGGCTGAACTCGCAATTTTCCTCCCAGAGTACCATCCATCCATTTCCTCCCAGAACATCCATCCATCCATCCATCTTTGAGATGGGCAGGGTCTCACTATGTAGCCCACATTAGCCTTCAACTTGGAAGCCTCCTACTTCAGCCTCCTGAGTGCTGGAATTACAGTCACACCAGGCTTGCTTCTGAATTTGTTTCTTTGGTTTCCCTCAGAACTACCTCTATTGCCTTAAAGGGCAGTAACCAGTTTTTTCATAAAACAACACAACACCTGGCATATCAATACCTATGCAAGTATATCTGAACTGAAAACTTTTAAGTTGAACAAAGCACAAATGTAACCTGCTGATCAAGAATTTTAAGTATCTTTCTTGAACTTTAACTTCTCCGTTTTCATTTCCTATACTTCTTATTTTTTAACTAAAAGAAATATTTGACTTTAAAAGTACACTGGAGTATTCTAGTAGTTCTGCCTTCGTCTTCTAGTTCATGATATTACCTGAGAAGACAGTAAAACAGAGCCCCAGTGGGATTTTTTCGGAAGTATATTCTAGCTATACGTAAACTAAACTTTCTTCCTTTGTTAAGTATAAAACCACAGGTCACATGGTAAGGCTGAATTTCTTAAACGTTAACTACAGGAATGAATTCTTGGTCTTTTTATAGTTTGAAGTAACCACATGTATATTCTCTGATGTGCCCCTTCTGGCCAGCATACAATATTTATTCAATAATTTTGTGTTAAAAGAAAATCAAAAGAATCAACACAGTAAAGTACAGCATGTACATTTAAAAAATAAGAACATCCAACCATTACTGCCTCAGCCACCAAACAATAATAGGTAGCAAATAGTTCTCCCTCCAAGAGAAGGGTATTGTCCAATTTTGACGTATTTGTTATATAAATGGAGAGTTCCTAGTCAGCGTCCCCATAAAAACTACCTTCAGTAACACTCTCATCTAATGTGGCTTACAGTCCTGCTTCTTAGTAACAATATTATAACGGAATTCAACAAATTTAACTACTCTAATAAAAAATTGTATGATTATTTTTAAACAATCAAGTAACAGAATTCTCAAAGTCACCACATACTAATTCTGAAGAACAATAAAATCAGGATCATTTTCAATTAAATGACTGTAATATTATCATGTCAAATTTCCTTCTTGACATTACTCATTATAGCTAGATTGGTCATTATTTTGCAGTTCCCAGCCCTGCCACTGAAACCAAAAGTTGAAATTTCACTATTTTTGAGTTCTTTACTCACTTTCTTCTTTCTTCCCTCCATCTTGCGATCTCCTCTGGGGTATCCAACTTGATCTTCTTCATACCAAGAGCATGCATCTAGGAGCAAAGAGACTACTGAACATCAGGAGACATACTGAATGCTCTTGACTACGCAGGAGATCATTTCCAACATTAAATTTACAAACAAAAACAAATTGAAAACTATGGTAAATAAGCCAATTTTATACATCCTTATTGTAACTTTTATTTTAAAGGAGAAGGAACAATTTTATGCATTTATATTAATACTACCAATATAGGAAAATGGAAAAACAATTTAGTTACAAAGCAGATGTATATTTTCTCAATTAATGTTGAACACCCAAATGAATAACTTACCAACCAAAATTGAGAGTGGAAGCGAAAGAGATGCACAGACAATTTCATGTAGCACAACATAATAAAACCAGCATAGAAGATGGAATTAAGAAACTCAAAGGCAAGAATCAGTCCTCAGGCCTTGGAAACCCCCAATATTTACTTACTTCTCAAAGCTGTTTTTGAGTCCGTAATTGAAAAAGAATTTTACAATTCTCTTATAAAGTAGAAAGTACAGCAAGGAACAGTGGCCTGTGATCTGGTAATCTAGAAGGCCAAGGCAGGAGGATTCCAAGTTCAAATCCAGCCTGGGCAATGTGATAACCTGGCAAGATCTCATCTCCAAATAAGAAAGGGTAGGAAGCACTGGATGTAGCTCAGCATGAAGGCCCTAGGTTCAATCCCCAGTACCACAGGGGGATAAAACAGACGAAGTACTCCATAAATGTCATTTAGAATTAGACTATGTAAATGATGAGATATGATGATAACAGACTAATAAGAGGAGCATATATCAGTAAAAGGCTATGATTTAAAAACTTACATTTCTCCAGTGGAACTGGACAATCTTCTCATGTGCACTAAAAGAACAATCTACTTCAGGACACTGTAAGAATTTTTTTTAAAAAACCATTTAATGTTTTGCACATTAAAATTCTCCTACTATACACACACAGATACATTCTAGGCATGTTACATAATTATCCCATATCTGTACTATTGTCCATTCTTATGTCAACTGGAGCTGCACTTAATGACATTTGCTAAGTACAGAGCACCATAATATGTCTCCTTCACTTTTCCTCTTGAGTGAAAACAGACATCAGCAATGTCAAAATATTCTTACTTCCTAAAGTTGAATTTATAGGCGTTACTAAATGAATTTAATTAAAGTGATTAAAGTTGAATTTCGTAAATAAAAAGAGAACTTTTCCAAATCAAGAACTTTTAAAATTTTAAATGTCTCGGCTAATTTTTTTTTTAAGTACTTAATATTTGGATCATCTTACAGTGGTGAGCCATGGTAAGTAACAGTGTGGTTAAATGATCTGGGCCTTAAAGGTAAACTCAAAGAAGCACGAGACAGCAAGAGCACAGGCCCAGCCCACGTGTCCAGCAGTGGAGCTGCCAGACCTCCCTCTTTGCTGCCATCTCATCTCTCCCTGGAGCCGTGGGCATCGCACTTCCAAACTGCAAAGCCCTGGTTCACTATCCCCATCAGTGAAGTCATTAAACATTTCTATGGAAACTCTAAACTTACAAGAAAAATAAGCTTAGAATTTCTACCAAAAACACAAATGAAAGCCCATTTTCCTACACAAATTTCAAGACAACTAAGAACACTTACTTTTATATGTTCAGACATGTGTTGGCCATACTTTTCTTGATTTTTAAAACCACGATCACAGGTATCACAAAAGAAGTGAAAAATGGGTTCTTTTTTTTTCTGTAAACAAAAAGAGGCATCAGCTTTTGGTAAAAAAAAAAAAAAAAAAAAAAACAGTCAATAAAAAAATATAATAATCCTTCTAGTTAAATACACTTTGATTTTTCACATAACCTTTATGCAAGCCGTGATTAAAATATACAGTGAATGTTTAGTATTACAATAAAAAACATATTGCTATTAATCACTCTCAAAATACTCCCCCTTGCTTCAAACACAAAATATGCCATCATTCTTGTAACTTTCTGAAAAAGTTCCAAAGGCCCATTTGATAGCTTTACCAAATGCGATCAAAATTACGATAAATACTATTGCTACATGCCATCCAACAGGAAGGCAGCCTTACACAAACATTACAGTGTCCTCATCCACATTATTCACTGGATGTAGCACCAAGTGACTTCCGGCCATTCCCCAAATTCAAAATGAGCACGAATGGTAAATGGATTGATTGAGGACATCAAGGTAGCGATAACGGTGCAACTAAGGATCTTCATACAAGAGAATTTTTAGAACTGCTTCAGAAAGTAGCAAGAATGATGGGATAAATGCATTCAAGGAGCGGGAAGCATTTTTTGGGTGATTAATGGCAATGTGTCTTCTCCTGTAATACGTTTTTTAAATTTAAAATTTCACTGTATTTTTAGACCAACCCTCTTATATGCAATATGCTTCTAAACACATTTCTAAATCAATAGATTTTTTTTTTTAAATTTTTGGCAAATAGAATAACAAACGCCAAGCACGATGAAAATCCTTTAAATCTAAATAGAGTGAATATAAACTATGGGTAAATTTCAAATTGATAATCTAATTAGGATTTAGTACAACACATCAAAGGGATCTAAAAATAAATATTCAAGGTAAGAATATTTCCTCTTTTAGGAAAAATATTTCATATATAGTTTTACATTTATAGAAAAGGAGAAAAAGAATCATTTAGATAAAAATTAGTTATTTGTGATTCATAAAACATTATTATTTAGAAACCACTGGAAATAAATCTCCAGTTCTTTAATACTGGGGATATTACACTTGTGAAACGACTTCTCAAGATGAACTACACAGTTTTCATACTAATTTCATGCTATGCACACTCGGCAATTTATTCTAAACTACTGGAATTGCCTGTATACCTTCAATTTGAAAGACTATATCTGTTAGTTACATGAAAAGAAACCTACTTTAATACAATACAAAAGGATAATCAAAAATTGTTCTTCATTAAAAAAAGTTTTTCATAAAAATGAATACTCACTGATGAAAAAAACTGAAGTATTTACAATGAATTAAAATAAAAAACAAACAATGTATAGTAACAGTAGTAAAACCAGTCTGCCGGGCATGGTGGTGCATGCCTGTAATTCTAGCACTCAAGAGACTGAGGCTGGAGGACTGCCACAAGTTCAAGGCCAGTAGAAGCTATATTAGTTAGTTCAAGGGCAGCCTGAACTATATAGTAAGACCCTGTCTCAAAAAAACAAAAAAATCCAATCTGAAGTCCAAACATTGTTTGAAACATTATTCAAACATGCATACAGGACTAAATATAAACTATTTTAAGTCAAAAATATTACATTTATTTTTACTGGAATATAACAAAAGTGGAAAAAACTGCTTTTTTACTAATCTTATCAGGACTTAAAATATCCTCCCATGTTGAAAAGCAAAGACTATGAAAAAAGATCTTTTGTTACAGTTTATTCTTAACTTCATGCTTTCAACTTAATAAAAAAAGGTGGTCTTCCATTCTTCTCCCAAACTTGTATCACTCACCTCCCAATCTGCTAATCATTTTTTATTTCATCTAAGTTTAGTAACATTTACATTTACTTATAATCATGGTTTTCAATTACTTTTTACTCCTGTACTGTTAATTCTGTTTTCTTTACCTACAATTTCTCAGTTTATTTCTCAAAATGATTTTGCTTAAAATTTTTATTTATAGCTAAGATCCTTAAAAATCCTGTTTTAAAAAAAAAAATCCTGTTAAAGTAAAGCTCCACTGTATCACTAACAGACGTAAAACACTGAGACAGTTGTAACAGAAATAAAAGATTTGACACAGTAACATAGGGATCAAAGTGTCACATTCAAAAACATCTTAGAAATACCTTCTTTTTCTGCTTTTTGCTGGGAGGGAAGTTAAAGTCAGGAAAGTTTGGATCATATTTTCGTGGAAAATAAGAATGTTTACCTGACAAACAAAAAGAAATCTATTAATTTTTACAAATATATAATTATTTATTTATTATAGCACATCACAGATATTTGCATAAAAGTACTGGCAAACTACCTCTTCTGGGAAGAATAGTTAAAAGCATATTAGCACCAGGCATGGGGGCGCGCACCTGTAATCCCAGCACTTGGGATGCTGAGGCAGGAGGATCGTTGCGAGTTCAAAACCACCTTGGGCTACAAAATGAGCTCAAGGCCAGCTTGAACTGTGTAATTCAAGTCTCAGAAAGACAAAAACAAACAAACAAAAACATATTAGCAAAGATTATTACTAGTTTTAAGTATTTTTCAAATAAACACTGGTGAGATCACATATCCACAAACGCTTTTGGTGTCTAAATACAATGGACAATCTCCAGATGAAATTTCTTCAGCTATTTCAAACATTATAAATCTAACTAGTAAAATCTCTATCCCTGACCTTTCATACCAGGAAAATAGAACCTTGTGAAATATATCTCTTAAATCTCATCACATCTGTCCATTCTCATTGCCATCACCCAACTCAAGAAACTCTACTCTTTCATAGGTTACTGTGCCACCTCCCAGATTGTCTTTCAGTCCCGAAACCCCGTCTTCCAGTGGACTCTGCACAACTGTACCACAAAAATAATTCTTCAATCATGGCACAACTTGGCTCACAAACTGCGAATGGCTTCCTAGAATCTTCCAATGAGACTCCAGTTTATTTTCTCATCCTATCCTTCTCCTATCCTTTTACATATTCTGCTTCAGTCGCCCCAGAACACTGCAATCTCCAAAACTCATTTTGTACTGACATTTTTTTGCCTGTGCCTAAAAAGTATCCCTCCCAAAATTCTAAAAATATCCCAAGACATTTCTTGCGAAAGTTTTCTCCCAATTCCTCTGCATAACATAGTTACCTTTTACATGTTTCTATCACTTATGACACTGTACTATGATTTATTCTTATAAACCTATCTCATTTGACTCCATCAAACTCACATTCCTGGCATCTGGTACATAGTAAACACTATTTGAATTCGATTTAACATAAACAAGATCTTAAACAGAGTTGGATAATGGTTTTAAGTGGAAAATCCTGTGACTTATTTCTTCTGAAAGTAGACTCATAACAGCCTTTTCACCATCTCTACTTGATGTGATATATTTTACACTCAACTCCTGATCTTCCAAATCTGCTTCACCCACATCTCTTTCCTGTATCTGTTAACTACAACTCCATCCTTCCAGTTGTTTGGCAAAAACTTCAAGTTATCCTTTTCTCCTCTTTAATCTCTTATTTCACATCCTATCTTTCAACAAATCATTTTGACCCTATCTTTAAGCTGTATCTAGAATCTGACTACTTCTCATCACCCCCAGATCCCCACCCTGGTCCAAGTGCTCACTAGAACTGCAACAGCTTCCTAACTGGCCTGGCTTTCAGTCAGTTCCCATCAGCTGTCACCTTATTTCCATCAAAACATAGACTGGATCATGTCACTCTCCTGCACTACCCATCTCACAGGAATGAAGGTCAAAACCCCATGATCTGAAATAACCCAGCAAGGCTGCCCTCTTCCCCAGTCATCTGTAACTGTAACCCAGGCTCCGTCTTTTCTGGCCACTTTCGATGTATACTGTAGCTCCTGCCTCAAAGCCTTTGCATTTGCACTTCCTTCAGTCCTGATCACTAGTCACCCAGATGTAAGTATATAGTTCTGATCCTCCACTCTGAAACTTTGCTCAAATGTCTCTTTCCTGGAGAGATAATGCCATTTAAAACTGCAGTTATGTCGGACATGGGGGGCACATGCCTGTAATCCCAGCACTTGGGAGGCTGAGGCAGGACTGTCGTGAGATCGCGGCCAGCCTGGACTACATAGTGAGTTCATGGCCCGCATGAAATACAAAGCGAGACCCTGCCTCACAAAAACAAACAACCAACAACAACAACAACAACAACAACAAAAACCCTGAAGTTATTCTTTACCTCTCCACAGCATTGACTACCTTCTATTTTTTTTTTTTTTTTGCCGGGAGGGAGGGTTTCCGGTACCGGGAATTGAATTCACGATGTTGCGTTTGCCAGGCAGGTGCTGTGCCGCTGAGCTAAATCCCCAGCCCTCAGCATTGATTACCTTCTAATAAACAACTTTGCTTACTGTCCTTCTTTCTGCACTACAGAGATGTTAAGCTACATAAAAATAACGATTTCTGTGTTACTCACTGTTATATTCTTAGAGCCTGGCATACAGCGGGAACTCAATAAATAACAACTATATTTAATGAGTAGGCAGGAGGAACATTCCAGTAGGATATATCGTGAGACATTACCAGACTTCACGAGTGCAGGGCAGGGCTGGGGATTTAGCTCAGTGGCAAAGCGCCTGCCTGGCAAGCGCAAGGTCGTGAGTTCGGTTCCCGGTATCGGAGAAAAACCAAAAAAAAAAAAAAAAAAGAGTGCAGGGCAGAGTGGAGGCAGGAAAGGGAGAAATGGGTAGAGGGGAAGAACTGGAAGGTACAGAGGTGACACTGCGAGGAACAACCGCCTACCTCGAGGGTTGTGGGGCTTCTGATATCGAAGGAAACTATCAGGCTGCTGTCCCCAGTACCATGACGTCGAGGCCTGGAAATTACAAGGAAAACCGCTGGGCTGAGGCTGAGAATCAAGGGAGGATTGGGTGTCGAAGGGGGGCTGCGTCCCAGGAAGAATCTGGGCGTCGAAAGGAGGCGGCGCCCCGGACAGAGACTGCACCTCCACGGGAGACTGCGCGACAGTGAAAGGCTCTGACCCGGCCGCTGGGGGAGACGACGAAGGAGGTGGCGGTGGTGGTAGCATGGCCCATAGTGTCCAACTGTCAGGCCGCGGAGTGGTGTTATGTAGGTTCCCCAGATCGGAGGCGGGAAGCCACCCAGCAGGAGTCCCGGAGTCACTAGCCTGTGCTGCCATGCCGCTCTCCAGATAGGAAGCCCAACGTGCGACTGTGTAACACGGCTTAGACGTCACTTCCGTTTCTGCGGATCACACGGCTCGGCCAACCACAGACGGATGCGTCATCGATCAGCGCCGGAAAAACTCCCGCATTCGCTGCACCTCGAGATCAAGTGTTTTAGCTCTGACTTGGGCGCTTAGCTTTGTAAGCGTGACCAGTGTTTGCCACCGCGGATGGCGAGGGACCTGATCGGGCCGGCACTGCCGCCTGGCTTCAAGAACCGCGGGACAGCAGAGGAAGAGGAGCGGGACCCGAGTCCGGGTAAACGAAGGCGTGTCCCTGTCCACCAGGCCCACCCGCCCTCCTCTGGCCGGCCCTTCTCTTAAGAGGAAGAGGTCTGGGGACTACGAGGACCGAGGCGTGGAGAGTGGGTGCGGCCAGACTCGAGCTAACTCACCCACCTAAGCCGTGGCAGTAGGGAGGAGGCGCCTCAGAAACCTAGTTTTGGCCTGATAATCCTTATAACGGTTGATTCCCATTTGGTGCTAATATGAGCCGGACTCGGTGCAAATTGGACAACACACATTCAATCGTTTAATTTTACCAGCGTCTGTACAAGAAAAAGATTATTATTTCCGTGTTACATACCGGGTCGCCAAGGCCCAGACAGCTCTCCAGGTGACCCAGCTAGTTGTTAGTGGGGCCCAAATTAGAACGAAGTAGCTCTCTCAGCCTCTGACCGGTACTGCGTTCTGACTTACAAGACCTTGCGGAAGACCCTGTTCCCTCCAGTCGCCCACGTGCTTTCCTAGCATCTCATTCTGTCCTTGCACCTGAGACACAGCCCATTGCTCAACAAGTCCCGCGGTTTCTGCGCACTTCCTCAGCGCTGGCCTTCTGGCCTCTGGTTGCACTTCTAGACGCACTTGACAAAATCCTATCAGTCCTTTAGGGCCCAAGTGTCCCATCTAAACTCTCTGAAGTGTTTGTTACACCCTTCTCTTTACCCTCGGGGTTACCCATTTTAAAATTACATTGTATATTTAATACGTTCAATTTGAATGATTTCACTATGGACTTTTGTGCTCGTCTACCTTGACACGGAATAGGCCCTTCCTATGTACAAAACTAATGCTTCCCAGACTCCTTCGTACATATTTATCTGCTTTGTTTGTGCTAATGTGTAGACTGGGTCTGACACTGTAGTTGGAAAAGAGTTAAACTGAAAGAATATCCCAGCTCTTCCTGAATCAAATTTTCTTTCTTTGACTATCCAAGAACCATGTTTTCACTAGAGGGTTTCTTCCACATCTCATTTCTATTATAACCACTGTAAAATATTACTTTTATTTTAGCAGAGTAGGGCCGGGGATACAGCTCAGTGGCATAAGCGCCTGCCTGGCAACCACAAGGTCCTGAGTTCGATTCCCGGTACCAAAAAATAAATAAAATAAATAAAACCGTATTTTAGCAAAGTACTTTCCATCACACTAAAATTAAAGAAAAATGTGAGTGAATTCCATTGGATAATTGTTCTAACAATGCATCCATTTTATTATTGGTGGCTGTTTGAGTAGTTTACATTTTTTGGCTATTACAAAAAGTGCTACTTGGGAGCTAGGGATTTAGCTCAGTGGCACAGCACCTGCTTGGCAAGCAGGAGGTCCTGAGTTCGATTCCCAGTACTGGAAAAAACAAAACAAACAAACAAACAAAAAGTGCTGCTTTACATTGTTATACATGTTTTATGTACTTCCACCTTGTAAGTACTACCAATTTACTAAGTTCTCAGCATGTATAAGAATTTCGATTGTTCTGCATTCTCTGTAATACTTAGGTTTTTTTGGTCTTTTTAATATATGTTATACTTGATACCTCTCAGTAGTTTTAATTTGCATTTCCCCAGGGAAAAATGAAATTGATCACCTTTACATGTTTTGTGATGAGGCTGGGAATATAGCTCCCTGGTACAGTGCCTTGCTTGGCAAACGCAAGGTCCTGAGTTCGATTCCCAGTACCAAAAAAAAAAAAAAAGTCATATTTTGTGATTGTTTAAATGTGTCACATTGGAGTCTTTTGCTTATCATTTCCTTTGTTCTATTGACTTGTTATTTAGATAGTCTAAAAACATCTTTTTAGATACATTTTAAAATATCTTTTCTCTAATTCTATGATTGCTTTTTCACTCTCTCTTTAGTAAGTTTTCATGAACAAAAGTTTTTAATTTTGGTATTTTGTTTCTTAATTTTTTTTCCCTTTTGCATTGGGAATTTTTTATCCAATTGAAAGAATCTTTGTCTTCTCCAAGATTGTGAAACTGTTCCATTTTCTTCTAAAAGTATAATTTCAGCTTTCATGTTTAGTTTTACAATCATTTTGGTTCTTTTGTTTGTTATTGTTCTAAGTTTAGCTACTGAGATTTGGGAATTTTTTTAAAAAAGATGGTATAAGATATGATTTCTGCCTTCCTGGAGTTGGAAAGACTAAACCAATGTATACAAATCACTAGTGAGTGGAATTAAAAATCTGTTAAGTACTGTGGTTTGTTGGTTTGTTTGTTTGTTTGTTTTGTTTTTTCGGTACCAGGAATCAAACTCACGACCTTGTGCTTGCCAGGCAGGTGCTGTGCTGCTAAGCTATATCCCTGGCCCGAAAAATCCATAAGTACTGTGAAATGCAGGAAAAAAGTGAAAAATATATGCAAGGAGCACTCAATAAAATAGTTGTGGCTCATTATTACATACAACAAATCTTCTTTAGTTGCAGGACCTGCTCTGCCCCCTAATTATAAAAGCAGTAGTTCAGATTCATCAGATAGTGACGAGGACAGTAGTTCTTTATATGAAGAAGGAAATCAAGAATCAGAAGAAGATGACACTGGTCCATCTACAAAGTAAGTCACTTATGTAATAAGCCAACTTCCAACAGGTGTGAGTTGGCTGGAACAGATAGCTAGTAAGGGGTTGTCATATTTGGATTTATACAGCACAGGAAGAAATCATTTAATATGGCCTTTCATTATGAGCTGTATTTTTTTACAAAGAAGTTTATTCTAGTCACATATAGCTGTGGAGCTACTTAGTATTTCAGTAAAATTCTTATATAAAGGACTTTTCCTTAAGGTTTTATTGAAATAAATATTCTAAACTATAGAATTTCTTTTTATAGTTATATATGCAGTGGATGTTTTGTTTAAATAAATGAATGATTTCACTTTTATCTAACTTTAGTCATGATGAATCCATGTAAATAAGAAGTTGAGCTGGGCATGGTGATACACACCTGTAATCCCAGCACTCAGGAGGCTGAAACAGAAGGATTGCTGTGAGTTCAAGGCTAGCGTGGGCTACATAGTGAGTTTAAGGTGAACCTGACCTGTGTAGCAAGATCCTATCTCAAGAAAAAGAGAAAAGAACTTGAGTCTTTGTATATTATTAATAAGTTATTTTATGCTTTTTTTTTTTTTTTTTTTTTGGTCTTTTTGAGACAGGGTCTTGCTATGCAGTTCAGGCTAGCCTTGAGCTCACTTTGTAGCCCAGGCTGGTCTCATACTCAAAAGGATCCTCCTGCCTCAGCCTCCTGAGTGCTGGGGTTACAGGCCTGTACCACCACACCCAGCTTATTTTAAGCATTTTAAAGAGTATGAGACAGAAAGAGCAATTTACAACCCTGACTTAAATGAGAATACAAGCTAACTCAAACACTTTTCATTGAGAAGCAAATACATTCAAAAATGTGTTTAATGGAATCTTTATTACTGCAGAAAACATGGAATACCATTATATTACTGCTTTGAGAAACTAATCAATCTCTATTTTAGGTCAAAAATAAATTCCAGAAAAAGATTAAGAGCAATTGTAGCATATATTTTTTTCTTATTTAACAAGGATAATTTATTGTTTTAGTATTTATACAAGTGGTTAAAATTAATGCTTCCTTTAAAATTTCTCTTTGTGCTGGGTGTGGTGGCGCACATCTGTAATCCTAGCACTTGGAAGGCTGAGGCAGTAGGATTGCCTCAAATGCAAGGCCACCCTGGGCTACAAAGTGAGCTCAGGGGCAGCCTGAACAGTGAGACCCTGTCTCAAAAAACAACAACAACAACAAAAATTTCTCTTTGTGAAAAAAATTTGACATGTGTGCATAAATTTTTATTGTTATTTTCAGAAAACAGAAGAGAAATCAGGATGATGATGATGATGATGATGGATTTTTTGGACCTGCCCTTCCTCCTGGATTTAAAAAGCAGGATGATTCTCCTCCAAGGTGATAACCTATAATATTTCTGGCCAGTCTTTAAAATACTTCAACCAGGGCAACTTAATTTCTGGGCTCCCTTTTGTCCCTCTCAGACAGAAGCTTTCTTTGTCTCAATAAATTCTTCCTACTCTTAAGAAAAAAATTTCAACCAATGTGTCTTAGTTCATTTATCTAAAGTTTTTTAATTTGTATATTTCATACACTTGAAATTGATTGTTTATAGGGAAAATGGTTGTTCCTTATAATAAAAGTATTTATATGCTTATGGTACTTACAGATTATAAAAAAACTGTTTCATTTCTTATTTGATACTCTAAAAGTGTTTGATGGTAAATGAGGTGGAATGTTCCTCTATATTTTCCTGTTGAAACAGTTAAAGTGGCATGCATTGTAAGTAGTAGACCTAGAATTTGAATCCTGAGGTTTGGACTTCTAATTCACTTGTTTTCTTAATTATGTATTTGTAGAAGAGAAAAATCTTAATATATAGTTTGGCTAACTTCTCTGAATCTCACATTTGTCATTTTTAAACTGGAATAGTGACATATACCCTCCAAAATTGTTGTGATGGTTGAGATTTCCTATTTGTATGCACACACTTGTGTATCTTATTGCTGTGTGCCACAGAGTAAGTGTATAATAAATATTGGTTCCTGTCTTTTCAGAATTATAAAAATTTTAAATACCAAGTATAAAATTACATACTAAACAGTTGGTAACTCATAACACTATATACCAGTATGCAAGAACAAGTAGAAGAATGCATATTTATTTGTATTCAGAATTTATAATTATGTTTCATAAGTCTTAATTTTCATGTAACTCAAATTCTTTTAGAAACAGTTTTTTTTTTGGTATGGTCCCTAACCTAAGAATGATTTTTGTGTTTTTAAATTGATGCAAAAATACAGACAAATAAGCCATCGAGACCCAAATGTGGCCCTCAAAGCCTAAAAGTTACTATCTATCCCTGAATAGGAAGTTACTGACCTTTAGGGTATAACATTTCTTTCAAGAAAACACATTACAGTTGGAACATCTCTAATCCGAAATCCAAAAATGTTCCAAAATCCAAACCTTTTAAGCACCAACATGGTATCACAAAGTCTGAGGGTTCCACGTATACAAATTTTGTTTCATGCACAAAATTAAAATATTGCATAAAATTATCTTCAAGCTATATGCATAAGGGAGTATACAAATAAATTTCATGTTTAGATTTAAGTACTATCCCCAAGATATCTAATTCTATATATGCAAATATTTCAAAGTATAAAATTCTAAACACTTCTGCAGCAGTTTCTTTCTTGAGAATTACATTTTGCCAATAATTAAATCTAGGTGTGATTTAAAATATACTTAATAGCATATTTTAACCAGCCGGGCTTGGTGGTGCACGCCTGTAATCCCAGCACTCAGGAGGCTGAGGCAGGAGGAGCATTTCGAGTTCAAGACCAGCTTAGGCTACAAAGTGAGCTCAAGGCCAGCCTGAACTGCATAACGAGACCCTGTCTCAAAAAGAAAAAAAAATAGCATATTTTAGAGTCAAAAATTCTTATGCAAGTGTAGTGTTCCATGGTTATATCATATTTACTATATTTAAGATTTTTTATACCGCTAGTTTTTCCTCCGTGAATCTCCTGAGGCAAGAAAATTGAACAGTAATTTCATTTGTATCTCTGCTAGTAATTGTGCTCAGGAAAAATCCATACTGTGATTCCTCATAGCATTATAACTAACTGGGCCTTTCTAGCAATGCCAAACTTCCCCATCTTTCAAATGCAACGTTTTTGTGCTCAGAAAGGCTTTATGAAGTGAGAGAGGAGGTTATTAAATGGTCAGGATCAGAACCCAGACTTTCCCTTAGCACTGTCTCTCCTCTGCCAGGAACCTTGTCTGTGAGGCACTAATTGAACACATTTCAACTTGGTAAATTCAGCTTAGGGCTTCAGTACCATCTGGGTTGCTAACACTGGCATAATGACAAACACTAGTACGGAGAAGCAAGGATGGAGAAATTGAGAAGTATTGAAAAGAGTAGAAAGTACATTTTCTCTTTTATTTTTTCTCTATACACAGTCAGGCTCATAATTCAGGCACTTCTCTCCTTTGAGCTAATGACAGCTTCCTCAACGTGACAATCAGGCAATTGGAAAGAAAGTGAACTTTGGCGAGGGATATAGCTCAGCAACACAACACCTGCCAGCAAGCTCAAGGTCATGAGTTCGATTGCTGGTACAAAAAAAAAGAAAAAGAAAATGAACTTTGGCAACAGGGAGGCCAAGGCTTAAACCCTAGCTCAGCCACTTACTGGGTGTGTTGACCTTTGGTACTAGTTTTGTTCAAAATGGAATGACTCACACTGACCAGGTTGTTTTAAAAAAACAGAAAGGTGTACCAGTTGAAATGTGCTTACCTCAGTACATTTTGGTCCTCCTATGGGTCTCAATGAATTAGCTGTGTTCTTCTACACTTCCACGTTGTCGCTGGATTAGTAGAGCACTGGATAAACTTGTATGTCACTGTGGTAAGTACAGCACCAATTAGTGACACGTGTTGTATGCATATACTGCATATGTCCTTGGAAGACCTCACTTTCTCCTTAAGATGTTCTGACTACAGTGATACCTTGGGTCATGAACTCGGTTTGTTCCACGATTCTGGGAAAGATGGCTGTGGTCATGTTTGTCACCTGATGTGGAGTTCATGAACAGAAGCACAATTTTCTCACATGTTTCTATCTGTGAACTGAACTATTCATGAACTGTCTTATATTACTATACTTATAATGCCCCAAAGTATTTTTCAGTGAACAGTGAACATCAAAGTAAAGTCAAAGCACAAAATAGAAAAAGACCTGTACAAGTTTTAATACATCATAAGGACTTTCTAAATTATCATTTTTACTTAGTACATTTCTTTTAGGCACACATGATTGTCACAAAGATTGAGAATTACTGGTTTAGTATCTGATTGACTAACAGATAGTTTAAAATGCAAAAATTATGTTTAAGATACCTAGTAAAAAAATATGCAAAAGTAGTAAAAATGATTTGTTAAATTCTCATTTTCAACATAAAGTTATTGACTTTATGATTGTTGTGAACTGTTATTCTGAAAGCTGCTTTTAAAGGCACGGAGGATGATAAAGGTACATGTTATTTTTCAGGCCTATAATAGGTCCTGCATTGCCCCCTGGTTTCATTAAATCTACCCAGAAAAGTGACAAAAGCAGAGATCCAGGACAAGTATCATCACACTTCAACTCTCAGGTTTGGAAAATGTTCATGTAAAGAATAAGATGCGACATATTAAGAACTTTAGTGATAACTGTAGTCACTTGACTAAATGATTTGTTTGTTTGTTTGTTTTGTACTGAGAATCGAACCCAAGGCCTTGTACTTGCCTGGCGGGCACTGTGTTGCTGATCTACATCCAAGGCCCTTCAGTTATATTAAGAGTGATTTAAGATTATAACATAGATAAAATCAAAAGCTGTTCATAAGAGATTGTGTTAGTAAAAAACCAAGATTGATTATACTAAGACGTTTTGGGTTTTGTTTTGGTTTGGTTTGGTTTGGTTTGGTTTTTTGAGACAAGGTCTTCTTGCTATGTAGTTTAGGCTGGTCTTAAACTCACTTTGTAGCCCAGACTGGCCTTGAACTCAGGGTGATCTTCCTGCCTCAGCCTCCCAAGTGCTGAGGTTACAGGTGTGCACCACCATCCCTGGCATGCTGCTTATTTTTAAAGAGAGGCTTGAAAGTGTAAGAAAAGTGGAACATAATGCTTAAGGAATTATTGTGATTTGAGCTAGAGGAATAAAAACTGATGAGGTTGGTTTTGTGATACTGGGGACTGAACCCAGGGCCTTTCTGCTGAGCTACATCCCCAGCCCTTTTCTTTTTTTATTTTGATACTAGGTCTCATTAAATCACTAAGTGGGGTCAAACTCACAGTCTTGCCTCACCCTCCCAGAGTGCTGAAATTACAGGTTTGTGCTACCATGTTCATCTATGAGGAGCTTTTCTAGTAATATCCTTTACCTTTAAATTAACCCAGCTCTAGTACCTATATAGAACAAATGCACGAGTGGATAGGTAGTTTTCATGAAGAGATAGATCATATGATTTTGGAGTAAAAGATGAAAGCTATTTTCTTCCCTAATAGTAACTGAGATTTATAGAATACTTTGCCATTTGAAATACATTTTCTCCATATATGGGTGTTATTTTTATCTTCTCCACAGCCTCGTAAAATACATATTGTTTGAATCTTACAGATGTAAAAGACTAAAGGAAAGGGTATCTCACCCAAATTTACAGTTCTTACTTATCAGAACTGCGACTCACATAGAGTTTTTATGACTTTGAAGCATATAGTCCATTATGCTGCAATGCCTTTCTACAAGTGAATTGTTATAATCAGGAGACCCCTCCCTACTCATCACTGGATATTCACTGGTTACACTGAGGTCACTGAAAGTAAATACAGGGAAGTGGTTAAGAGCGTGGACTTCATAGTTACTACTCTCTCTTCCATGAATGTTTCTAGAGCACCTGAAGTGTGTGAGGCAGATGGTCATAGCAGTGAGTCTTGTCAGCAAACCGTTGTTTCTGTCCTTTGGGAGACATCCACAGTCCAACCATTCTGGGTCCAGCCTGGCCCGAGAGACCTAATATTCCATCTATTTGATTGGTCTTCAGACTTCAGTTAGCCCTTGCCCTCTTCTGCCTCTTCTTAATATAGCCGCTAGAAAGGTCTGCATGAGACAAAAGTCAGGTCATGTTAGTAACCCTCCAAACCATCAAATTCTCCTCCAAAAAATTTGGAGTCTTTACAGGTCTCCATTAGCTCTGATTTTTCTTTTGCTTTAGTACAACCACACTGGGCTCTTTGCCATTCCTCTGCAAGTACACCAGGCCAGCCCCTACTACCGAGCTTTTATGCCTGCTATCTAAGTCTGTCCAAAATGATCTTCTGCTAGATGTCTACAAGGCTGACCTCTAAGACCTTCAAGGTTTTTTTTTGCGGGGGGCGGGTACTAGAATATGACCTTTCCAATGAGTTCATCTCTAACCTCCTAACTTAAATTTACTCTTTCTTTTACTGTTGTCTCCTTCCTTTCTTTAATTTTCTCCATAGTATTTATCAACACTATAGATAGCACTGATTTTACTAGTTCTTATGATTTTAAGAACCTCCTTTGTTTTTTTGTCCTCTTTCCACAAGAATGTGGGTCCATAAAATCAGATTTTGGTCTAATAGAATTATTTCAAGTGTATAACCACTGTCCAGTTGGTAATAAGTACCAGGAATTCTGTGTTAAGGCTTCCAAAGCCACATCTGTGTCCCATCAGGAGGATAGCTAAAATAACTTAATAATATCCACCTTAACATAGGAGGAGAGATGAAACAGTCTGTGTGCTATGAATTTGTTGTCTACCGTGCACTCTAAGAAGGCAGGAAAAGGCTCTTCACTGCTCGCTGACAAGCCAGCAATAAATGTATTGTTTATTTTTTGTTTTGTTTTGTTTTATTGTCTATGGGTAATCCATTTCCTTTTAAGTACATTAGGATCATTCTTACGTAACTTGTAACTCTATTGGATTAAAGGTCGTTTCTTGTTTTAGAAGGAAACAGATAGCAGTGAAGATGAGGACATTGTTGGGCCAATGCCTGCCAAGGGGCCAGTTAACTCTAGTGTAACAACAGAGTTTGAAAAAAGAGCTCAGAGGATGAAAGAAAAACTAACTAAAGGAGATGATGTAAGTTTTTTAAAGACATTTTAAGAAATAAACTAAATTGGCTAAAAAGATCTATATATTAGAAATAAACATTAATATATGTATCTATTACATATCTTTACATATATTTTGATGTTTACTTCTAAAATTTAGAGGTACGTGTACTTATTTTCAAGTTTTCAATATATATATGCATTGTCTTTCTTGGTATTGTGTTTGTTTTTTGTTTTGTTTTTGGAGATAAGAGTCTTCCTATGTAGTTCATGCTGACCTTGAACTCACTATGTGGTCCAGGCTGGCCTTGAACTTGTGGCTGTCCTTGAACTTGTGCCTGTCCTCTTACCTCAGCCTCCAGAGTGATGGCATGCACCACCACACCCGTTTATATATGTATACATATATACATATTAATTTAGGAGTTATATAATCCAGAAACTGTAAAGGAAAAGATCAGCAAATTTGTCTGCTAAAAGTATTCCGTATGGCAAAAGATAGTCAAAAGAATAACAAATTGGGTGAAAGGATATGACAACTATAATGCTTAAAACATCAGTCCTTTCTGTTAAAGTCTTAAGTAAATTTAAAACCCCAAATGAGAAATACAGTTGTTTGTACCATATTTATTTATTATATGTATAAAACATGTGTGTTTTAAACTTTTTTATTTCTCGTAAAGGCTTCATCTAAACCAATTGTAAGAGAATCATGGATGACTGAGCTTCCTCCAGAAATGAAAGACTTTGGTCTTGGGCCAAGGACCTTTAAAAGAAGAGCTGAAGACAAATCCGGAGACCGATCAGTCTGGACAGATACTCCAGCTGACAGGGAAAGGAAAGCTAAGGTGTTTGTATGTTTTTGTTTGTGTTGGCTCAATTTTGAAAACATAAAAGACAAAATTATTTAAAGATACTAATTTTTGAAATGAATGTTTCCAAAGGAAAATGCATATTTTTTTTTTCCTCTTGAAGAAAAGTTATGAGGAAAGAAAGTCACACCATTTGCCTACTATTTTCCAATAAGTCTCCTCATTTAAACTTCAAGAAAGTCCTAAGATACAGGTTTACTGACTTTTAATTTTTTTTTTTAGCACATGTTTGCAATACAGATTATTTACATTTCTTAAGTGCAGAGTTGGTACATTTACTTTTATTTTATTTTTTTGTTCTTGTTACTTTTGAGACAGGGCCTTGCTATGTAATTCAGGCTGACCTTGAACTCACTGTGTATACTGAGCTGGTCTCAAACTCATGGCAATCCTCCTGTGCAAGACCACCAAGGCAGGCAGAGTTTAAGCAACATGCCACAGTCTATTGCAGACTGGGCACAATCGGGCCAAGGTGAAAAAGACCATTGGCCCCAACCAAGGGGTGAGAGCATGTTTTATAGGAGAGTTTAGGTGCGGGAGGAGACACTACTGACGGGGGTACAAAATTTGGGGTCTCTGAGTAGGGGGCCTGGGGCTGGCTGATAGACAGGGCAGTGTTGGGTACAGGAGGGTGCTGGTGGGCACAACATGTCTCTTGTGGTTTTTCTCAGAATCACTCTCTGCAGGTTGAGCTGCGAGGGGAAGCTGGTAACTTCCTGTTAATGCTGTGCACCTACAGGTGTGAATAACAGGTTTTTCTCTCCTAGCTGGTTGGGGGTCTGGTTCAGAGACCTGACGTTCCTGTCTGTTGTGTTATAGAAAAAGAAGAGGGTTAGGGAGTATAGCTTCTCAGGACTTCTTTAGGTGTGACTGGGGGCTGCATAGGCATCCTAGAAAAGAGAGACAGAAAAAATGAGAGGGAGAGGGGCTGAGCTGGTGGCAAATTGACAGGGTATTGGATCCAGGTGAGGCGACAGCGTTCTAGGAACATGATGATCTTTGGTTCTTGCTACAGGTCAGCTTGGAATTCATGTGGAACAGTGGTATAATGGGCTGTCAGTCAAAGCTGTCTGGATGTTATGGATCAGATCTGTCCTTGGATGAAATCTGTTAAGAGTCTAACTATACAAAGTCCAAACAATAACGGCAGAAAGACTGGGACCAGGGGCCTGAATATGGGGAGAAGCCTGGATGTCCAACCTGTTTGGAAAAGACCTTTACCTTAACCCATAGTGAAGCCACCCTTTGCCTGTTCTTTGAGTCTGGCAGCTTGGTCCCAGAGACTCTGGACTGTCTGATGAGTAGAATCTGACCTGTTGACATAGAAGCAGCATTCCCCTCTGAGGAAGATGCAGGTGCCCCCTTTTTCTGCAGTGAGTAGATCCAGGGTGTGGCAGTTCTGGAGGGCCACCCCAGGTGGGGAATCTACTTTTTTTTGTAAGGCCAGGGTATAATTGGAAATCTTTCCAAGCCCCTCAGACATTTGTTCTGAAAGCTGTTAGAGGACTGTGGTGGAGACAGCTACCCCTGCAACTCCTGTCCCCATGCCTGCAGAGACTCCAAGGCCTACCAGTAGGGGTATGAGTATTGGGGCTTATGGGCATCATCTGAGAGGGGTCTGCACAGGGAGCGGGAGCTCAATTTGCCTAGGGGCTATATGTATTTTGAGGGCCAGGAATACCAGGGTACATGTTCCAGTCCAGTTTGTGGGCAGACAGATAAGTGGAGGTTCCACAAAGCCAGAAAACCCTGGATGTGTTTAGGCAGAAAACATGCATTATTTAAGTGTTTTTATGTTAGAATCCTCTTTTTGCCATTGTCCCATGATGGTGGCAAGTACAGCCCCCATAAAAGGAGAGCTGAGCCTGGACGGTCCTTTTGGGTGGCACCTTGGGGTTTTATCCTGCCAGTGTAAGATAAATCTTACCTTGTCAACAAGCCATTGGGAGCAGTTCTTTAGGTTGGGCAGTAGGAGGAATTGGGTAGGGGTGGTGTCCCAGTGTGGTGTTTGGCCAGCAAGTATGGGTGAGCTGCTGGAATAGACCACTGTGGAAATTTGAAATGTGGAAGTTGGGGGAGGTGAGCAGAACCAAGAGTTTACATTTATGAATTTGTTTGTTTCTATGCTTGGGGGTCCTGACATTCTGAATTGGACTGAGTCAAGTGTTGTGTTCTTGTGGTCATGGGGACAGTGAAAGTGTAAAGTTGCATTTAGAGGGAAGTAAGTATCGTAGGGGTACTCCTGGGGAGCCCCTTCTACAGAGGCGTATGGTGGCCTGTGAAAAGATTTTTGTGTCTGTGGCTATTGGTCCTGTAATGTGATGGCGTTTTGGTGTGCTGGGGCCCATGAGGATGGCGTCCTGTAGGCTTCAGTAACCCAGTGTGCCTCAAAAGTGGGAAACCAGACAGACTCAGCCATGGCCCATGTTGAAGGGGGATGAGTGTACCCTCAGTGAACCAGGTCAAAGCAGAGAGGCAAATCCAGCAACTTGTGCCAGCATGGTTGGGAGTGGTTTAGTAGGGACTAGGCCAACTTTATAGTCTTATTGAGGTGGGAGAGTAGCTCAGGGGATTGTCTGGGCCTAGGGCTAAATTTGGACTCTGGGTAGTTGGGGCAGGGGCGTATGTGTCATTCTGGGCCTGAGATAGAAGATGCATAGCAGGGTAATTAGGAGCCTGATCAGCAGGAGGGAGGTGATGGTGAGAAAACTCCCTCAGGCAAGGCATAGCTCAGATGGAGCCATTGGGGTGTAGGTGGCAGGGGAGGATAGTGCCTGAGAGTGCACAAGGGAACAAGTATCAGTCTCATGAAAAAAGGAAGACACCTGATAAGAGGCACCTTTTTGTGGTGTTCCAGTCAGTTGGTGCCACTGAAGCCGGACCTGGGGCGAATATGAGCAAGGGGCATGAATGTGATTAGGAAGGGGAGATGGCCACACATGGAGTAATCTAGGCGGAGGATGAGTAGGAAAGTGAAAAGATGGATAGGGAGAAGCCACGGGCTCCTTGGAAGACATCTCCCAAGGGGTTGGCTTCTGGGGTACTACAGGGGCCCAGACGAAAGGAGGGCAGTATAGCAGCTCGAAGGGGTTATAGCCAGTGGGTTCGAGGGGAGCTTCCCTGAGTCTGAGATGCAGGGGAATAGGGAGCAGGGATGTGTAATATCTTCTTAGATGTAGGGAGAACTTCATGAGTTGGGCCTTAATTAAGTTATTGGCTTTTTCTGCTCTTCCTGAGGATTTGGTCCTGTAGGAGGTGTGGAGTGTCCAGTTTACTCCGAGAGACTCGGAGACCTTTGGGTTATTTGATCAGTAAAAGCCGGCCCATTGTCTGATTGGACTGAGGTGGAGAGATCAAGTCAAGGGATGATATTTGAGTGCAACCTTCCAGGAGGGGGCTCAAGTGAGAGGCTGAAGTAAGTGGCTGAGGGGTTTGTAACGTATGTGAAAGCTGTCATGGAGGGAGGAGAGAATCTGATGAGTCTGGGAGGTGAGAAGGAGATATTTTCCTTGGTCAAGGAACCATCCTTCTGAGGTGGGGAGTGTCTGGTACTACGAGTGCTCTTCTGTGGAATAGTTGGGGTGATGCCCGTCAGGGAGAGGTATTGTCCCTGTGGAACAGGTGGAGTGCTGGCAGAGGCAGCAGCCTGCCCCCTTGGCTGTCTGGTTTGCAAAAGAGTTTTCTTGTGTTATGGGTCTGTGGGTTTTTGGTGTCCCTTACAGTGAATCACTCCTGCCTGGGCAGGCAGGAGGGCTGCCCCCAGGAGTGCCTTCATTAGGTGTGAATTAATGGTAGGGGATCCCCTGGTGGTGAGAAATCCTCTTTCAGCCCATATTGCTGCATGGTTGTGAAGGATGTGAAAAGAGTATTTTGAGTCTGTGTAGATATTAACTCTGCTTTCTTTTCCTAGGGTGAGGGCTGGGGTCAGTGTATGAGTTCGACCTGTGGTGAGGTGGTGTAGGGGTGAGCTTGGGCGTCAATTACCGTGTCAATTGTAACTGTAGCATATCCCACCCTGGCCACAGAAGCAGCTGTTCTTTGCAAGAGCTGCCATCTATGCAGCAGGTGTGTTGTGGGCTCTATGTGGAAGGTTTGAGATGTGAGGGAAGAGCCTGGTGTGTCAGTGTGTGAATGGTAGGCAGTTGGTCTCCCAAGCAGGTGCCCATTGTCTTTCGTCTATGTGAGTGGGATGGGATGGGGGGTGAGGAGGGGAGAACAGGAGGCGATGGGCATTGGGTAGTACTGGGGATAGTTAGGGTAGTGGACAGGTTTGTTAAGATGGCTGCTGAAGGGCTGGGATTTAGCTCAGCGGCACAGCGCCTGCCTGGCAAGCACAAGGTCGTGAGTTCAATTCCTGGTACCAGAAGAAGAATAAAATAAAATAAAAGGATGGCTCCTGAAGAGTGGGATGGGGTGGGTTGTGATGACCAGGAAGGCATGGGAGAATATGTGGTTTGCAGTGGACAGAGGAACGGGAGAGTCTTGGGAGGCCAAGATATGGAGCCATCAGTCCCCACAACAGAAACCTCAGCCAAAAGGAGCTGTCCTGGGAAAGAAGGGAGGGTGGAATAGGTCACCTGTGTCCATTAGGAACGAAACGGTCTTACCTTCCACCTTAAGATTTACCCGAAGTTTGGCAGCTATGATGGTCCAGGGGGCATCTGAGACTGTCAGTCATCAGAGGCCCAACCCATGAGGTCAGAGAGAACCGGGTTGTCCTGTGGGGTGCCCTGGGAGGGGACCCCCGTAGCAATCCTGGTTGCACAGTGCAGTCTGACTTGCAGTGAGGACCCCCACTCATGGGACATGAGGGCTTGGGAGGGGGTCTGGGTTTGGGCATTCTTTCGCCCAGTGGCCTGACTGTTGACACTTAAAACGGTCCCATAAGGGTGGATCCCCTCTTTGTGCCCCTGGACATTTTGTTGGCATCCTCTTTGGGTTTGGGGTTTCTTAGAGTGGAGGCAAGTAACTGCAAGTCAGAGATGGATTGCTGGCAGGAAGCCTCATTTTGGTTATTGTAGATCTTGAAGGCCTGGGAAATTGATTCCTGTTGTGGGGTTTGAGGGCCTGTCTCAATTTTTTGGAGCTTCTTTGCCAATGTCAGGAGTAGATTGAGTGGTAAAATGCATTTTGAGAATCAGTTGTCCTTCTGGGCTTTCTGGATTGAGGGTAGTATATTTTCTTAGGGTGGTTGCCATTCGGGACATACACTGAGCCAGATTTTCATCCTTTTTTTTTTAATCCTTTTTTTTTGAGTAATCTCCTTAAGTTTGTCATAATTGACTGACTTGTGGGCTGCTTTTTTTAGTCCCTCCACAAGGCAAGTGATCATGTAATTTCTTGTCCTATTTAGCAGAGTAGGTTCCTTCCTCATCTCTTTGGTTAAAGTCCCAGTGGCGTCTGGCCTGGGGAACAGCTGGGGACCATCCCCAGTAAGAGCCCGGTCCGGCCCAGTCATTGGCATATGCTCAGGCTAGGGTCCGGGCCTGTTCTCCTTCCTCATCATCCCACAGAAGGGCATAGGTTTGAGCTCGGTATCGAAACTCTTGGATATAGCTGCAGGAGTCAGACAGAAAGGATCCAAGGTGAGGAGCAATTGGAGATCACTGAGGGAGCAGGGAACATGGACCTGGACAGTGCCCTCTGCGCCCGCGACCTTGCAGAGAGGGAGCTGGGCAGCAGGGGTTGAAGGGCCAAAGCGGAGGCCAGAGCAGTGTGGGGGGAATGGGAAGAGAGGTGGGGTGTGTGCAGGAAGGTGTGGGATGCGGGGTTGTCCAGGAGAAACAGGGAGAGTGAGGGGTGAGGCTGGGGAAGCTGGTGGGTGATTGGCAGCTGGAGGGGCCCCAATTGGAGGAAGAAGTCCCAGCACGTTGCTTAAACTCTGCCTGTCTCAGTGAGCTCCGCTGTGCCTCAGTTTACTCTAACAAATAGAAAGTTGAGGTGAAGTAATACTTAAAGGCAGAAGAGACCACAGAGGAGAGGGTATGTGCATGAGCCACAGATATTGAAAGGCTAGTGTTAGCGTATCTGTCCTTTCTTCACTGATTTGTATAATGATGATGTCACCAGGGCATGTACTTTTACACTAATGATGTGTCTCCGTCACTGTCTTCATCATTGGGACGTGGTACCTGACATCAACAAATTAAGTGAGGAGAGGTTTGTTTTGACTTATGTTTAGAAGTTTCAGTCCTTATGTGATTGGCTGTCTCCAGCAGAAGCAGCGTGGTAGAAGTGTCTGGCAGAGCAAACCTGCTCCGGCATGGCCCTGGAGAAGCAGAGAACAAGTCAAGGAAAGAACTGGGAGGGGAGACAGACCCTCGCCAGTCTCGCCCACACTGACCTTCCTTTTCTCGTTAGAACACACTTTCTAACAGCAAGTCAGCTGTACTTCTCCACAATTCAGTCACCCCAGAACGTGAGATTGTGAGGGCCATTTTAGATCTAAACCATACATATTACAACTTCTAGAATTTCACCTTTTAGGGGTGTCTCCAAAAAGACAATTCCCTTGCTTACGTAGACTTTTTATTTGTAGGTCTTGTTTGGCTTCTCACTATAGGTTAGTATAGATGACTACCCTACGGCTACATGTGCAGGGAATCATCCGCAGAGGAAACACCAGTTAAAAAGGGCACAAATGGAAACCAGCAGTACGGTTCGAACTTCAGTCATTTTCATCCCTGTGACTGAGATCTTTACCCCCGGTTGTTCTCAGTGCTGAAAACTTTTCCTCAGTGCTAACAGTGGACTTATAGGAGGATTATTAATACCTCTTAAGTTTTGTGTAATTCCATATTACAGTATGGTACCACAGACATGTCAGAAATGATATAATATTGTAATGCTATTCATTTGTTCTGTCTTTGCGCCTATGTAAAGTTCATGACTAATTTTGTAACAGATCTCAGTCAGATTTCCTTCTTAATGTTTTCTCCGTTCGCTTTATCATTTTACATTTGATTTCGCAATGTAACATCTCTCATACCTCTCATTTTCCTTTAGCCAACATGACCTACAAGAAATGATTGTTTATTAGAAAGAAATGAAAAAGTTTTCATAAGTTAATAAACGAAATCTATGTGTCTTCACCTCCAAGTCTTGACAAGATCTAATAGCACATGACTCTTTTGTGTCTGTTGTTAAAGGGTCAAGTTTACATCTCCATTTTAACATAACATAATTTTTCTCTTAATATTTACAAGTAAAAACATACGTTTTTTTAGCCAGTTGTGCTGGCACATGCCTGTAATCCCAGTACTTGGGAGGCTGAGGCAGGAGGATTGACGTAAATTCAAGGCCAGCCTGGTCTACAGAAGCAAGTTCAAGGCCAGCCTGTACTACATAGTGAGACATTGCCTCAAAAAAAAAAACAAAAAATGAAACCATGTTTTTTGAGGAAATTTTTATGGAAAATAAAAAATGAACTATTCCAATATTTTTAACATACTTTATTAAATACAGGTTGTTTTAGTCCATATTAAGATTAAAATTGTTATGAAAGTCTTGTTGGTTTTCCTAATCAAACGACAACATAAAAATATGCCTTGAAAACTGGTTTTTCAGCCATTTTTGTGTGGATCTTCCTCATCCTATATTCTATAGAATATCATTGTAACATTTTTTCTGATTACCGTTTATTGAAAATTTTCCTAATTATTTCATTTTTGTATGCATGCTGTTACAAATGAAATCTTTGCTTTGTTTCAAATTCCAGTTGTCTATTGCTGATATATTTTGTATAATTATGTTGTGTAGCTTTTGTATACTTTCTAATTAGTTCCAGGATAGTTTGTTCGGTGTTTTTTACATAGAATATCATATCATCTGTGATTAAAGACAGTTGCTTTTTTGTTTTGTGTTTTCATGTGTTGGTATTGGTACTGGTGATTGAACCCAAGGCCTTTACACTGTACCACATCCCCAGAACAAAAGGTATCAGGATCAAAAGTTTAAGCCCAGCCTAAGGCAAATGAAATTTTTGAAGAGCTAAGGATGTAGGTCAGAGAGCCCTGGGTTCAATCCTCAGTCCCACATATAGATTTAAAAAAACAAAGAAAAGAAAAAATTCTTTTTTCAATACTTTTATTTCGTTTTTTCATTTTACTATTTTTGTTTTTTTTATTTTTTTTTCATTCTATTATTTTTGAAAACAGATAATTAAGGGTTTTTTGTAAACCATATTTTCACTGCTATATCTCAGCATTGTTCATCAAAACTCAGGTCCTAAGTTCAATAAATAGTTAAGTGATTGCAGTTAAATGATTAAGTAAACTTTTTGTTTTATTTTGTTTGTTTCCTTATTTGCAGGAAAACCATAGGCTAAATCACTAACTGATTCCTTATCAAGAATATAAATGTTTCTGACCAGAAAGAATTTAATGAGCCTGATGGAGTTTAGTCTCTTATTAAGTAATCTGAGTAAAAATAATATTTCTTTCATATTTGATCATAATTGTGTGCTTCAGTGATTTGTTATCTATGTCCATTCCTCAGGAGACACAAGAAGCAAAGAAGTCACTTGATAAGAAGGATGAGGAATATATATTTTCAGGAAGAGATAAGAGATTGGCTGAGCAGGTGTCCTTATACAATGTAAGAAAATAAAATATATAATCTCTTGTTTTTCTTTTATTTCTCATCTCCTTTTTTGTTTCTCTTTTCTATGACTACCTGTTTGCCCGAGGCATTCCCTATATATATATAAGTTCTGAAATATACATAACTCTGTTGTGTGTGTATGTATATGTACATGTATGTACAATGTCCTCCTGTGTATTTGATATGTTTTCAGTTTGTGTTTTACCTGTCATCAGAAATTCAATTACTAGAGATCGATAGCACTTGCTCAGAAAGCAGGAGCTCTGCTAACTCCTGCGTGTGTCTTTCTGTACGAAATACGGTGCTGCCGCCCCAGCATTGCTTACTGCTTTGTTTAGTGCTCACTGAGCTCCCTTGATTTCTTTGTTCTCAAGTGTATCCTTTGACATAGGCAGGGCCTTAAGAAGTAAATGTTAAGCAAAAGTTGTTCTTTTTTTCATTGCCACGTACATCAATATATCTGATTTCCAAACATTCTAAAAGCCAAAATATTTATCTCTAAAAGACACTACACTCTTGAAAAATATGTTCAAGACAGAATGACACAAAGCCCTTGTGGGTTTGCTGTTAATTGATTAAAGGAAGTTTTGTTCTTTCCAGCTTTTCAGACTTCTTTTAGATGCTCGTGAGATTTTGCTTTCTCAGATACTATTCTATAATCTCTACAGCTATGAAGAAAAATGGGGCACCTTTACAAGATGCTTTAGAGGGCAGCTCAGTTTTAAGAAAGATTACATGAAAAAGCTGAGAATTATGGGTAGGTAAACCTTAAAAATTACCCAGGCCTTCGTACGCCGTGGAAAGGCTACTGGCCTGTACCACTGTTCCACCCTCTTCTGTTTCTTCCATCCCAGGCCATTCTATCCTTTGCCTTACTCAGTGCTCAGAGCTTTGTATGAATCTTCAATTTATTTTTTAAAACAGGGTCTCACTATATAGTTCAAGCTGGCCTTGAACTCACTGTGTGTTTGAGGCTAGCCTCAGCCTCCCAAGTGCTGTGCTTATAGGTGTATGCCACTACACTTGGCTGAATTTTCAGTGTATTAAACCAGTTTCCTTTACTCATACCTTGTCTTAGTAGATATATCTGAAAATGTAAATACCTACCCTACCTAATAAGAAAGAAAATATTAGAGGGGTGAGAGAAAGAAAAGAAAACTGAATGGACAAAAATTTCTTGTAGCTTATGGAGCATGCCAGCATCTGCACAATCCCTGAATTTGGCACTTTACTCTTGCTCTCCTTTTCCACTGTTGTTTCGTCAGTGCTTTCCCTTCTGTGTACCATTTAGGATTCAGGAACTGGTCCATCCATGAAGTAAGAGTATAGTGGCTCTCCTCTCCTCTCACACCCATGTGCTTGGTTTGTACTGTTTGTTTGTTTGTACTGGGGACTGAATCCAGGCCTTCCACATACTAGGCAATTGCCCTACCATTGAACCCCATCCCCACCCTCTAGTTTGTAATTTTGTTAGTATTTATGTATAAGTGACTGGAATGCTTTTCATTAAGATTATTTGAGTATTTGTTTCTTCTCTATTTTAATCTGTTTTTAATGCATGGCATATAGTTAGTAGATACCTTGTTTTGCTTGAACTTGCCTCTGATACGTGTTTTTGTCATAGATGCTGTCTTGGATTTGGAAAAACAGGTTGGGGTTTGAAAATAGCCTTCCTTACTGTACATTGTTGTCTAATTTGCTGCCCCATGATCAAATTCTGTCAATAGTGTATATTGACAAATGTATACTGTCATATGTACATACAATATGTCATACATACAATATGTGTACATATTGTATATGTATATTGTTTCTGCTCTTCTTTTTAGGAATCAAAAAGATCAGAATCTCTTATGGACATTCATCATAAAAAATTAAAGAGCAAGGCCACTGAAGATAAAAATAAGCCCCAAGAGAGAATACCATTTGACCGTGATAAGGATCTCAAGGTTAATCGATTTGATGATGCTCAGAAAAAAGCCCTAATAAAGAAATCTAGAGAACTGAACACCAGATTTTCACATGGCAAAGGCAGTATGTTTTTATAAGTAAGTATATGTCTGTAGGGTATATATTCATACTCCTCAACTTGAACCTTTCTTGAACCTGTCTATAATAATTATATACTAAAAATATTTGCTTTTATAATAAATTATAAGCCTACATTTTTTAAATAAGTAACTGCGATTGTTGAAAAATCAGCCTTATGTGATTTTTTTAAAATGTAGTCGGCTAGAGAAATATCCTTGCCCTCAGGCATTGCTATTAAAAATGTTAAAATAAAAGTTTCATTTAAGAGAAATAACAAAGTGTGAAGACTGAATATGCATGCTTTATTAAAGAATGAAGGAAGGAGGTTTGCTAGTAGTTTTTTATTTTGTTAATGAGATCACAATTAGAAAATGTTCATTTCTTTGGAAGGCTGTCTTAAATTTTGTTTAAATCATACACCATTCATCCATAGCCCAATCTGACTAGGTTATTAGTGATAAAGGAATTGTATAAGGGCTGAGGTTGCTTCTTAAAATATTTGTGACTTTTTAATTGTATGAAACCTACATCAGTGTTCAAATGTGACTTTAAAGGAAAATACAGTCAAAGTTAGAAATGTTTTCCAACAACTGAATTCTCTTACTCTTATCTCAGGGGATTCCCATGTAGAACGAAGAAAAGTTGAAGAATATTCTTTTATCTCTCTGTCCACCTTTCTGCCTTCATTTTTGTATATCATAATATTAAGGAATAATTTTTTTTATTTCATTACTACATGTTTGCAGTACATATAATTATATTCATAATGAGAAGTTGATACATATACATAACACATCTTAGGTCTTTTTATATTCCCTTCCCCTCCTCTCACTCCATCTCTTGGTCCCTTTATCATTTCTAAAAGATACATCTCTGTGTTTCCTATTATCCATCTTTTATTTACTCTTCAAATTATTTATACTTTGGGTTTCTTATATAAGAGAAGCCATGCAATATTTAAGCTCGTGTGTCTTATTTATTTCATTTAACTTTATGGTCCCAAGGTACATTCATTTTTCTATAAATGACTCAAATTTATCCTTCATTATGGCAGAATAGTACTCCACTGTACTATTCTGTAAAGAAATAACACATTCTCCACTGTAAAGAAAATAACACATTTTCTTTACCCATCTATTGCCAGACATACAGGCTTGCTTTCAAGGTTTAGCTGTTATGAGTTGTGCTGTTTTAGGCATGGGTATGCATGTACACTGTAGTAGGATGTCTAACTCTTTTAGGAAGATACCTAAAAGGGGAATAGCTTGGTCCAGTGGAATTTCTGTTTTTACTTTTTTGAAGAATTTCCATACTGATTTCTATGGTGGTGGTTATAGTTTATGTTCCTACCAACAGTGTGGAAGTTTCTTTCCCCCCACTGCCTTGGCAGCACTTCTTACTTGAGTTCTTGATGATGAAATCTGTGTTGCTTTAATTTGCATTTCTCTAATGGCCAGATATGTTGGACATTTTTCATGTATTTGTTGGCCATTTGTACTTCTAAGAATTATCTTAATTTCAGTTGCTCATTTCTTGACTGAGTCTTTTCTTTTGTGAGGTCTAGTATTTTTATTGCTTTACATATTCTAATGATTAGTCTTCTGTGTGAGAACAAGCTGGCAAAAAATTTTTCCCACTCTGTTGGTTGTTTGCTACCTAATTTGACATGATCCAATTCATTGATTTCTTGAGCATTAAGGGTTCTAATCAGAAAGTCTTTGCCTATGAGTATGTCTTTAAGAGTTTTACCTATTGTATCTCCCAGCAGATTGTTTCTGTTTTAATACTGTATTTAAATATTTGATAATTTTGATTTTTATTCCACATGTGGATAGTCAGTTTTCCCTCCACCATTTGATAAAGAGGCTGTCTTTCCTCTATCATATGTTTTTGGACTCTTTCACAAAGGTCATATGGCTGAGTATCAGTTTTGGCTGTATGGCCCTTTTGACAATATTGGTTCTGTAGCAACAGGAGAAATCTTTCCATTTTCTAATATCCTTTTATCTCCTTCTTCAGAGTACTATAGTTTTTGTTATACAGGGCTTTCATTTTCTTCGTTAGGTTAATTCCTAAGTATTTAATTTTTTTCTGAAACTATTATGAATATTATTATTTTTCTGAATTCTTTCTCAATGGGCTCATTATTGGTAGACACTATTGGTTTTTGTGCATTGATGTTGTATCCTGCTACCTTGCTGAATCTGTTTATTAGTTCTAGCTGACTTTTCGTGGAATTTTTTGTATCTTCTCTGTAAAGGATCACATTGTCTATGAATAAGGATAGTTAGAGTTCTTCCTTTCTTACATATATCCCTATTATTTCTGTCTCTTGTTTAATTGCTCTGGCTAAAGTTTCAAGTGCTGTATTCAACAAAAGTGATAAAATAGGGACATAAAGTTTTCTTACTCCTGATTTTAAAGGAAAAGCTTTCAGTTTTTCCCCATTTAATATGTTGTTTGCAGTAAGTTTCTCATAAATGGCTCTTATCAGAATAATATTGTGTCCTTCTATACCTATTTTCCTCAGAATCATGAACAGATGTTGGATTTTGTCAAAAAAATTTTCTATGACTATTGAGATAATATGATTTTTGTTCTTGATTGTTTATGTGGCATATTACATTTATTGATTTGCACATGTTGAATCATCCTTGCATCCCTGGAATGAAACCTGCTTTGTCATGATGTATGATCTTTTTAATGATTCGTTGCATTCTGTTTGCCAGTATCTTGTGGAGGATCTTTGAATCTATATATTCATTAAAGAGATTGGCCTATACTTTTTTTTTCAGTTGAGTCTGTCTAGCTTTATAATCCAAAGCTACTTTTGTAATGCTACCTTCCAGAAATGAGTTTGGTAATACTCCTTCCCTTTCAATTTCATTGAAAAGTTTGAGGAGTATCGACATTGGATCTTCCCTGAGCTTCTTGTAGAATTCAGTGGTGAATCCATCAGTTCCTGGGCTTTTCTTCTTTGGTAGGTTTTTATTACCACCTCCACTTGAATGCCTCTTTCTGGATTTTTCAAGGTTTCTATATGTTCTTGGTTCAGTTTTCATAACCCATATGTATGTAAGAATATTCTCATTTCTTTTGGATTCTCCAATGTATTGGAATATAAGTTTTTGAAGTAGTTCCTCATAAGCTGTGTATCAGTGATATCCATTGTGATTTCACCTTTTTCATTTCTAATTGCATTTATATGGGTCTTTTTTCCTTTTTTTTGTGAGATTGGATAAGGATTTGTTTATTTTGTTTATTCTTTTGAAGAACTACCTCTTTGATTCATTGATTCTTTATATTCTTTTTTTAATCACAATTGCATTAATTTATGCTTTGATCTTTATAATTTCCTTCCTTATATTAGCTTTGGATTTGGGTTGTTCTTGTTTTCCTAGGACTTTGCAATGGATAATTAGATTATTATTTGACCTTGTTCTATTTTTTTGATATGGGCATTCACAGCTACAAATGCTTCCCTTAGGACTCTTCCAATTGTGACCCATAGCTTCTGGTATGTTATACTGGTATTATTTGATTCTAGGAACTGTCTCATTTCTTCCTTGATTTCTTCTATGATCCATTGATTATTCAAGAAGATAGTGTTTGATCTTCATTTGTTTGTATAACTTCTTTGTTTCTTTTGCCATTGATTTCTAGTTTCTTTGGATTACCATCTTATGCATAGGAGAATTTCAGTTATGTTATTTATTTAGGTGTGATTTGTGGACTATATGGTCTATTTTGGAAAAGTCCATGTGCTTCTAAGAAGAATGTGTATTCTGTTGTTGTTGGGTAGAATACTCTTAGGTATCTATTAAGTCCATTTGTTTGAAGGTGTGGCTCAACTCTGCTATTCCTTTGTTGATTTTTTTCTTTAGTTGATCTATTTGTGGTGGTGGGAGATTGAGGTCTCCTGCTATAATTGTGTTGATGTAGATCTGATCTTTTATGTCCACTAGTGTTTGTTTTATCAAGTTGGGTATACCTGTGCCCCCCCCGCCTCACTCTTCTGAACTGCTTACCTAACCTAGTATGTTATTTCAGTAGAGGTTTTGGCATTGTTGGCTTTATTGTCTCTTTCTGGAATATCTTCAAGAATTTTTTGTGATGATGGGTTGGTGGTCTTGCATTTCTTGAGGTGCTCTTTGTCATCTTATTTCTCCATCAATTTTATTTTATTTATTTTATTTTGTTTTTTTCCAGCACCGGGAATTGAACTCATGACCTTGTGCTTGCCAGGCAGGTGCTGTGCCACTGAGCTAAATCCCCAGCCCCCTCTCCATCAATTTTGAAAGATAGCTTTGAATAATATATTAGTCCGGATTGAAAGTTGTTTTCTTCTTCTTGTTTTTCTTCTTGTTCTTCTCCTTCTCCTTTTTCTTTTGCAGCACACGGTGAGTTTTTTTTTAGTTTTTTTTAGTTTGGGTTTTGAGTTTTGGTATTTTTTAGACAGTATCTTGGTATATAATTCAAGCTGGCCTTGAACTCAGTATGTAGCCCAGGCTAGCCGTGAACTGACAGTTATCCTTCTGCCTTAGCCTCCTGAGTGCTGAGATTATAGGCGTACACCACCACACCTGGCTGGAAGTTGTTTCCTTTTAGAATGGGAAACACTTCACTCCAAACTCTCCTGGCCTTTAAGGGATGTGTTGCAAGTCTGCTGTAATTCTAATGAGATTACCTTTATAAGTGACTTAAAAGCCATAAGCTTTTAAGATTCTGTCCTTGTGTTAGACATCTACTATTTTGACTATGATGTGTCATGGAAAAGTCCTTTTCTGATTGTAACTATTTAGGGGTCTGTATACCTTGCTTATGTTTGTGTTAAATGCTTTCCCCATATGTCTTGGTTACTTTTCTCTCATTGCTGAGACAAAATGCCCAATGCCCAAAATGAAGGAAGGAAAGGTTTATTTAGCTTACAGTTTGTAGAGGTTTCAGTCCATACTGGGCTGGCTCTGAGGCAGAAGATAGCAAAGCAACAAGAGCAAAGAGGGGAACGGTGGCCTAACAGCAAGGCAGCCAGAGCAAAAGGGAGGAATCATGGCCAGCAGCCTCTTTCCCTCCCTTACATTGCAAACAGGCTACCCCCACCTAAGGGGGTGTAGCTCTCACATAATCGCCATGCCCTCCTCTTCCACAGGCTCAGGATGTATATAAAGTAAGCACCCTGGCTTCCTGCTGAGCCACTTAGCCAAACCTCTAGACTCCTCAAGTTGATACAGTGTATCAACCATGACACCATACTTCCATAGTTTTCTACAATTATTTCTGGAAAAAGTTTTTATGCCATTTGAGCTGTCTTCTGATTTTTCACTAATTCCAGCTAACTTAAATTAGCCTTCTTTGCAATATATAGCAGCTCTTGGATCCATTTTCTATGTTCTCTTAGTGTTCTTATGGAATCTTTTAGTATGTGACCATCTACATCAGCCTTATCTTCTAGTTCTGCCACTCTCCTCTCATTGGTCACTTCGGCTACCCATACTGTCAGTGATCAGTACAGACTTTTACCCCTGGATTTCTGTTTGGGACCTTTTCCTGAACTCTAGTTCTTAGCTAGATTGTGCCTGTCTGGCATTCATGTTTTGTATCTTACTTTAGTTTAGCTAGCTTTTTATTATTGTCTTCTGTAAGCTCACTGATCATTGTTTATTAAGTCCATTATTTGCCTATTTATGTCATCTTTGAGCTCACCAAGCACCTTTTGATCTGTTTTTTTTTTTTTTTATCATTTTATGTAATTCAGTTGTTTGGGCTTTAATTTCCTTTCCATCAATACCCCGTAGATAAGCTTTGCGGAGGTTAGAAGTTTATGGAGGCATTTATTGCCTTGTTTGTTCATGTTTCTCAGGTTTATGTATGTGTCTGTGTGTGTGCATATGCTGAGAGTTTCTTGTGCGTTATAGTGAAAAGACTTCGTTGCTAGTATGAGATGTCTTTAATTAGTGTCTGTTTTCTAGTGATGCACTCTGGGTGTGGCTAACTGTAGACCTTTGCCTCTGTCCCAAGATCCAACCTCTCAGTTAATTTGGGGAAGGGGGATGCAGTATAATTGGCCTAGCACCCAGTTCTCTAGAAATAGATTGCAGTACTGTTGATGACACACTAAAAGCCAATCAGTAGCAACAAATGTGCCACCCTTGGAATAGCATCAAATGCAAACGATACTGACATAACTTTTGACCAATAAAAGCTACCACTGTACCACCCTTAACAATAGAAAAGAGATCTGTAATTATAATATAGACACAAAGACAAGCTAAATATTGATATACAGTGAATATTTTCTAAATGCAAATTTATATCACTACTAACAATAGAGAAAAATACAACAATTATTACACAGCTAATTATCTAAAGATTAATAAATTGCAATAGTAGTATTAGTAAAGTTAGAGAAAGTATAAAAGGGGAGAATGAAAGTAGAGATTGAAGAATAAAGAAAAAGAAGCTGGGTGTGGTGGTGCACGCCTGTAATCCCAGCACTTGGGAGGCTGAGGCAGGAGGATCATTGCGAGTTCA